CCCGGAGCCCTCGCTGCTGCCTGAGCTCAGCGGCCGGCTGCTAGCACGTGCAGGCTGGGACGCTGTGTGCAACCCGCCTGCATGTGCAGGATATGACGCAGTGTGCCGTGAGCAGAATGGTGCAGGCCGTGAGCATGCATGCGACTCTCAGCAGCCTAGCCGTGAGCCTGAGTAGTTCCTGGTTCCATCCCGGTTCCGTAAGGAGCTGCAATTTTTTTTTTTCTTCGCGAGCCATATGTGGCTCGCAAGCTGCAAGTTGGCCACCACTGCTCTAAATTGTCCCTAGCCTCTATTTGAAAAAAGTTGGGAATGGGCGACAGGGAATGGATCACTTGATGATTATCTGTTCTTTTCATCCCCTCTGAAGCACTTGGCTCTGGCCACTGTCAAAAGACAGGATACTGGGCTAGACAGGCCATTGGTCTGACCCAGTATGGCTGTTCTTATGTTTGTCCATTGTCTCCCCAGCTAGGAGACAGGCAAAAGACAGCTTGCTGCCCTGCCCAGAGGGTCAGAACTCCATTAAACTGCTTATTGCTCTATCCTGAGCAGAGGACTGGCACCTCTTAGACTGCTAATTCCCCATTGAGCCTTGTCTTTATGGGCACACAGTAATCAGGGACAAAATGATAAAAGACAAGATAGTGGAGAACAAAAAACAGAAGAAAATTAATGAGGTAATAAAGATACATACCTATAAGCTCTGAAGGATTCTTCTCACTAAAATGCTCACATAGGCGGATAAATGTTTCTGTGTTCTCAGATGTAGGACATTCGCCATGCCTGGTAAACACAGAGGAAAAAAAGGTTAGAATAAAAACAACAAAAAGGGGAATTAATTCAGTACAGACTTTTTACTTAAAGAGCTAATATCATATGGGTACAATGAACTTACCCTTTACACTGAAGTTTTATATATTTGATCCCTTCTTTTTCTATATCATTCCTATCATAGAATCTAGTAGTATTCGTCAAGTCCATCAATAAGCCCATTTTAACCTAAAAAAAAAAGTAATTATTTTGTATTTAATTGCTCCAAATATGAAGAGCTAACCAATATGAATTGACTAATAATATCCAAAATAAACTGACAGCATACTAAAGTTGAGGTCTTTTAAAAAATACTGTGCTTTTTCACAAGGTCTATGTAATATTTGTCCACTACCACCATCATTTTTCTTCCTTCAGTGCTTGCTACAAAGCTTCAAGGTTACAATTTTCAACTAGCCTCCAATGCCTACTTTCCAAACCCCAAAACAATCTGCTCAACGTGAAGAAAAAATATTTGGTGAGGAAAGAGTATGCAATAAAGAAAGACTTGGTAAACAGATTCAGAGATTTTTAAACTATTATGAACTCAAGCTGCAATTAAATCAACACTGCTTTAGCACCCTGAAGCATGAATCCTGCAACTAACTCCAAGTAAGATAGCATGGGGTAGCCACAACTATTTAACTGCACTACAAACATACCTCTAGACTTAAAGGCCAGAAGGGACCATCATAATCATCTAGCCTCACCTGCTGCACACTGAAGGTCATACAACTTCACCAACCACTCCTACAAGAGGGGGCCCATAATCTCTGAGTTACTGAAGTCTTCAAATCTTGATTTAAAGGGAATCCACTATTTAGTAAACCAGCAAATAACCCATTCCCCATGCTGCAAAGAAAGGCAAAAAACCAAACAAATAAGATCTCTGTCAATCTGACCTGATGGAAAATTCCTTTACAACCTCAAATATGGTGATCACTTAGACTAATGGTCACCAACCAGTCAATCGCAGAGGTACTGCCAGTCGATCTTGAGGCAGTGTTCCCAGCCCCTCCTCCGTTCTTCCCCTCACCTGCAACGAGAAGCCCACACTGGCGCTACAGCCTTCTGCCCCTCATAAAATTGGAGCCAGCACCAGTTTCCTGCAAGAGGAGGTCGAAGGGGAAGCGAGTCCCAAGACTCTGCGCCAGAGTCAGCTTCTCAGGAAACATGCGTGCACTGCTCCTCACCTCCCCACAGCAGTGCACGCACTTTCTTATTTTCCTTCCCCTTCCTTCTTTCCTTCCTCTGCGCTCCGGAGGGAAGTTTACGATGGCAGTGGCAGATCATTTGAGGAACGGCTGGATTTCTCAAAGGAGCCACACATGCACTTCTTCCAGATCCTGCCCAAGGGATACTCATCCCTGGAGACCCCACCCACTGAGTACCCTGCGCCCTGGTCCAGCACCCACCAGCACCCTGCTCCTGTCCACTCCCCACTGGCCAGACACCCACCACACCGTGCTCCTGCCCCCAACCCTGACACCCACGAGCACCCTGCCCCTGCCCCCTGGCCAGACACCCACCAGCACCCCACTCTTCCCTCTCGGGCAGACACCACCCCCACATCTCCCACCCAGATTCTGCACTCCCATCCCTATTCCACTGAATGACAGCTCTCTCCCACACACTGGACCCCTCATTTCTGGCACCACCTTAGAGCCATGGGGGGCCCACAAAGTCCACTAACCCTGGAACCCCAGAGAAGTTAACCTGGCCTGAGGCCTTGAACCTCAGTCCTACCTACACCCACCTCCCCATGGGACTACATCAGTAAGGGTTGGGAAGTTTTAGAGGGGTTGGGTTTTTTTGCATCTAACTTGTGTGGTCCCTGACTGATTTTTATGTGGGTCAGTGGCCCCGACCCAAAAAAGGTTCCCCACCCCCCCATAAATAAAGACAATGTTGAAACCTTTTGTGTTGAACATAATATTTTATTTAAAGATGAAGCCAAGCCCCCATCTGGCTGCAGCATCATAACACTCCTGCACCCCTCAATCCTGAGCACATCATACACCCAATACCACAACCCTGAACCCCTCATACTCCCTATCAAAACACCTGCACCCCCACATCCATAAGCCTGTGGCTTGCTCAGCACCCCAACCCTCCACATGACAACTCTCTACAGCCTGATGCCCCTTCCCCAAACCAGCATCCCCTTCTCCACCTCCTCCTGCACCCAAATTCCCTCCCAGAGCTTGCATCTCTTACCCATTCCCACACCCAAATCCCTCATTTCCAGAGCCCATACCTCCTGTCCCTACCCAGTGAGAGTAAGAGCTCAAGACAGCAAGTGATGGAGAGAAGGGGAATGGAGAGGGTGGGCCTCATGGAAGGGAGTGGGTAGATCTTGGCTTGCCCGGACATTTAAAAAGTGATCTTGGGTGTAAAAAGGTTGGACCACTGACTTAGACCCTGAGCACCTGAGCAAGACATATGAACCAGACATCTATAATAATACAGGGTATGTCTACACTACCCTCGTAGTTCGAACTAGGAGGGTAATGTAGGCATACCGCACTTGCAAATGAAGCCCGGGATTTGAATTTCCCGGGCTTCATT